TTGGACTTGCTTTGCAGTTGCTCCCACTTTCCTGGCTTGGTTCTGTGATATTATCTTGGCCTACGTATTAGCTTCCTATTGCTGTTGTAACAAATTACCACAAATTTAGTGGCTTAAAACACAACACAAATTTTCTCTCTCACAGTTGTTCCAGGGGTCAGAAATCTAAAATGGGTTGGCAGGGCTGCCTCTGGAGACTCTAAGGGAGAATTCATTTCCTTGCCTTTTCCAGCTTCTAGAGGTTGCCCACATTCTTTGGCTCATGGCGATTACTTTACATCTTTTTTTTCAGTTGGGGGCATTATTCTGCCTACCACAGCCCCACTGGTTTTGATAATCTCTTGGATTTTTCAGATCCTGGTCCTCTCTCTCCAGGACTGTTTTCAGCTCTGCCCATGCTCATATTTTTGACAACTCCTGTGTGGATTTGTCTATTTCCTTTTGTATTTCTATTAGTTTTTGCTTCATGAATTTGGAAGCATTGTTACTAGGTACACGAATATTTAGGATTATTATGTCCTCTTGATCAATTGACCCTTTTATGATGATGAAATAATGATTTCTCATTTCTCTCTCATTATAGTCTTTGCTCTGAAGTCTACTTTGTCTATTACTAATCTAGCCATTCCAGCTTTCTTTTGATTAGTGTTAACATAGCATATCTTTTTCTGTCCTTTTACTTTGATTTTATTTATTTTTCCCCCCAAAGCCCAGTAGATAGTTGTATGTCATAGCTGCACATCCTTCTAGTTGCTGTATGTGGGACGTGGCCTCAGCATGGCCGGAGAAGTGGTGAGCCGGTGCGCGCCCGGATCCGAACCCGGGCCACCAGCAGCAGAGCGCGGGCACCTAACCACTAAGCCACGGGGCTGGCCCTGTCCTTTTACTTTAACTTATTTGTAGCTTTGTACTTAAAGTGGCTGCCTGTACACAGCATATAGTTCAGTCTTGCTTTTTTTTTTTTTTTTTGCTGAGGAAGATTAGCCCTGCGCTAACATCTGTGCCAATCTTCCTCTACTTTATATGTGGGTTGCTGCCACAGAGTGGCTGATGAGTGGTGTAGGTTTATACCCAGGATCTGAACCTGTGAACCTGGGCTGCCAAAGTGGAGTGAGCTGAACTTAACCACTACACGACGGGGCAGGTCCCTAGTCTTGCTTTTTTATTCAGTCTCATAATCCCTGCCTTTTAATTGGAGTGCTTAGACAACTTATGTTTAATGTGATTATTGATATATGCATTTTATTTTATTTTTTGGTGAGGAAGATTTGCCCTGAGCTAACATCTGTTGCCAATCTTCCTCTTTTTTTTGCTTGAGGAAGACTCACCCTGAGCTAACATCTGTGCCAGTCTTCCTCTATTTTGTATGTGGGTCGCTGCCTCAGCATGGCTGATGAGTGCTGTAGGTCCACACCTGGGATCCAAAGCTGTGAACCCGGGCCACCAAAGCGGAGCGTGCGGAACTTAACCACAGGGCTGGCCCCATTGATATAGGCATTTTGGAAAGATGTCTCCGGAGGTAGACTGGAGACAGGGAAACCAAGAAGTCTGTTGCAGTAATCAAGGCAAGAAAAAAGGTTTAAACCAAGGCAATGGTCCTGGAGATGGAGTGGGAAGGGGGCTATGTCTGAGAGATGGTAAGGGTATACAATCAATAGAAATGGAGCTTAGATAGAGATTTGTGAATCATCAGTGTAGGTACTGGATGGATTCCAATGTTTGGAAGATGTAATATATTCATAAATGTATATTACATAAATATATTTATTTTTGGATTTTTTTATTGGGGTATAATTGACATATAACATTATATTAGTTTCAGGTGTACAACATAAACATATATATTTATATTCAGAAATATATATTACATCTTCAAAACACTGGAATCCATCTAGGTAATTACACTGATGACTCACAAATCTCTGTCCAAATTCTATTTCTATTGATTGTACTATTGTACTTGATTGTACTATTGTGTGTATATATAAATATATATGTAGTATCTATTGCATATATATATATGTATATATATAGTACCTATTGCATATATATACGAAGGTAAACATCTGACAACATTTCTGATCTGGGGGTCATTGCATGAAGCCCAGACTCTAGGCAGAAAGAGGGATAAGGGTACTTTAAAGTCACTGTGGGGTGAAAGGCATTAAATAAGAGACCAGCCCAAAAAAACAGTGCCAGGGGTACAGGAAGGCACTGTTTTCGGTGTCTGGATGGTTTTGCAGATTACCTGGTATTATACCAGCTCATCTCCAGTTTTCTATCATTTTTCAGACTATGTTGAATCTAATGCAAACAGTACCAAAATATTATAAACCATAATAAGTCAAACCCAACACATAGCAGAACCATCTTTGGTAAATTAATCTTTTCATAACTAGAGGGACTTGACAGAGCAGTTTTACTCTGGAGTTGGTTGACATATCACTAATTTTGTCATTAATGAGAGCATTACAGAGTAACTGTGGGCTAAGGCAGAATGGAGAGGAGTGAGTGCTAGGGAGAGTTCCAGGAAGCAATGGACACTGCTGTACCACCCAGAACCCCCTTCAGGAACCAAGGACTTAGCCCTCCAGCTGCTGGGAGTGCTGCTAGCAGGCAGACCTCACCTATCAGCCCTCTTCAGAAATTGCCTCAGCTGGAGTGAACTGCCTTGCCCAACAGCACTCCCTCTTCCTGGGGCAGCCCGCACCCAATGACTGACTCTAGAAGGCCATGTGTTGGGAGTTCCTAAGAGCACCCCCAAATTTGATGATTCATTAGGGGGATTCATAGAATTCAGCATGTATTTGTATTCACAGCTAGGATTACAACAAAAGGATACAAAGTAAAAGCAAAATCAGTAAAGGGAAAAAGGCATATGGTGCAAAGTCTGGAGGAAGCTTCCAAGTCCTCTTTCAGTGTAGTCAGAGGACACACAATTCCTGTCGCACAGAACTGTGACAACACATATCAAATGCTGTCCACCAGGAAAGCTCATTAAAGATTCAGTGTCTAAGAGTTTATTGGGGTCTAGTCATGTAGGCACCCTTTGCCTAACACCTTCCCAAGTTCCAGACTCCCAGAAGGAAAGCAGGTGTTCAGCATAAACCACATTGCTTCTACAAACAGTTTAGGCACAGTGAGCCCTTCTTATCAGTTAGGGAAAGGTGGGAACCCTCCTGAAATCCAAGTTCCCAGATGCCAGCCAAGAGCCACCCTTGCGAGCAGGCCTAAGGACAGCAGTCTCAGGCCTGTTGTGTTAATTCCTTTTTTACACCACTCCAGCTTCAGGCCGTTCTGTGGTGTTGGCTAAAGTGCCACTTTTATGGACCTTACAGGATATAAGAGCAGTGGCTCCCAATATATCTCCATTTAATTCACCACTCTGGCTCCTGCAAAATTTAGATGACGGTGGAATAAGACAAATTCAACCAAGTAGTAGCCCTGATGACAGCTGTGTGCCAGATGTAATATCTTGCTAGAGCCAATTAACATGACTATGGGTACCTCGTATGTGACCACTGATCTGGTGAGTGCATGCTTTTCCATCCCTATAAGAAAACAGGATCAGAAACAGTTCACATTCACATGGAATGAACAACAGGCTATGTTAGCAGCCTAGATTGTTATAACTCTCTTGCTTCTATTATAATTAAAGCAGACAGACCAGATAGACATTCTACAGAAAATCAATTAGTTCACTATATTGATGGATTATCTTAATTAAATGGGATGAGCAAGACGTGACTAGTAAATCTGAGGCTTTGATAAAGAAGTACATGTGCTCCCGTGGGTGAGATAAAACCCATGAAATTTAGGGGCCTACTACATCAGTAAAATTTTGGGGGAGGAGTGTCCAGTGATCAGGGGCACGCTAAGACATCCCCTGTGAAGTAAAAGACAAATTAGTACAACTTGCATCTCCTGCTATGCAGAAGGAAGAACAATGCCTAATAGGCTTCTTTGGGTTCTGAAGGCAGCATATTTCACACCTAAGAATACTGTTCTCAGCTTTATTCTGGGGACAGGAAAGGCTGCTAGTTTTTAGTGAGGCCCAAAGCAGGAAAGGGGTCTATGGCAGGTCCATATTGTGTGGAAACAGGCCTGCCACTTGGGTCTTCTAACTTAGCAGACTCTGTGATATTAGAATTATTGGTGGAGGGAAAAAATAAGAAAGAAATTAAAGCAAAACCACTGTATATGTACTCCTGATTTTTCTCTGCTTATTGTATTGAATAACTGAATGTATAAAAACCACACAGACTACATTACTGGAGAAAATATTTTATTTTTCAAATATATAATGGATTCTTCACCCCTTAATTATTTCTGTAATAATTTTATCTTTTTATTAAAACTAAAATACATATTTTAACATATTTCATCTTTTCTCAAATCAAAGACTATGGTGTAATTGTGATTATCTTTAGCAACCAAAGTCTATTTCCAGAGATTTAAACTTGATATGGAGAAAAATGCCATGTCAAGTCCTGCGTACCTGATTTGGTGCCGAGGTTGAACTGGTGTATTGGTTTGTTCCAAGATCCAGAGGCCACTCCAAGCTTTAAAGCAAAGTGAAATCCTTAGGTTGGCCTTGGAGGCCTGAGAAACCTCTGGATCGGGGCTGATTGCTTTTGCTCTGCAGAGGACAGATCTCCCCCAGGCTGAGCTGGAATTTCTGGGAACAGTGGACTGAGGTACATACTGTGTTCAGGCATTTGTTTGGGGTGGCAGGTGGGGAGGACCCTATTCCTTATGTCTGATTTCTACTGGTAATCATTTCTCCATTAAAAAAAAAAGAGCAAATGGGTAGCTCTGGGTCCTTGATGATATCAATATTTTGCCCACAGTTATTTCTCTCTCTGTGATACTAAGACCAATGACAAAGAAGACAAGGGCTGAGTTCACTCTGAACACAAGTAGTAAAAGTGACTGTGGCAACTGAGACAGTGGCAGAAACTGGGACTTGACTCTTGGAAAGGTCTCCTGGGCTTGATTTATTCTAAACAGCCAACGGAGAGCTAGAATCAGACACTGGACAATAGAATCTAGACACTGGATCCATAGAATTGGATATATCCTCTTACTTTTCTCTACCGTCCACTGACTTGAATATTTATACTCAAAAAAAACATGAGGGAAAAAGTCTCCATCTCTATCACAGAATCTCCATAAAACGTAAGACCATATCCAAATTCCCATTAGAATGTCCATTATGAATTTGAAATAACTGAAATAAATAAGGGGTAGCTAAGAAGATTTGTTTTTCAAGGCAGTAAAAAGATATGACCTCAGTGATTTCTTCTTAGGATAATGCTGACCTCTCAAATGTGGGTAAAATCCCATTTAGAGGGAAGGTTTGGAATCCTACATAAAAATATAACATGCATTAACACAGAAAATGCTTAAATATAAAAACAATTCAAGTGACAATATCCTTACTGATATTAATATAACACAAATAAAATTGCAATGAACATTTTAGCACAAAATGCAGTTCATTTCTAGTTAACACACTGAAATAAGTGATACTCAAATTCTAACTACTCTGGCATAGATATCTGAGTGAGGTTCATAAATGTACGTGTGCCTCAAAGTACAATCTGGCTTAGGGCTAGAAATTTTTATTCTAATCCACAGTATTGATGACTCAATTTCAGTTGCTTCTCCTAAGAAATTAGGAGACAACCTAAATTTCTGATACTTGAATCAATCAGAAAATAGCTAAGAGTTATTCTTTTGTAAATTCAGTAAAAAGCTATTCTAAAGTTGCTGTTTTCCTTACCTATTCTCTCAATAAAAGCTCTTGGATAGTAATCTACTCTCCTAATTAAAGGAAAATATTGCAACCTTTCCTCCAATTCCTATTTCAACTGGAAGAGCCATAACATTATTTTTAAATGGTTGCTTCTATATTTTGTATTTTTTAAAATGTCAGCAATATTACTTTCTGCAAAATACAAGCAGCATTGGAAGTATTCAGCTAGTACTGGCATTCATTTTGAAGATATATCTTTATGATGAAATAACAGTCATGAAACAAAATGTTCAGAAGAACTGTCAGAATAACTAACCATTTAAAAATCAGACTTATGACCCTTAAAAATTTTTTTTAAAGCTATGCTGGTTTACATCAACGTGCTCCTAGTGAGAGGAATCATGTACTGTACTGAAAAACTTGTCAGAGGTCTTCTTAACTTGGCTCTGAACAACTTTAAAAGCCAGAAGTTCTGCACCATATGCTGTTCTCAGGGTCAGTACTATGCGATGCCTTAGAACAAGATCTTTTAGTATTACTGATAACAAGAGCACCTTGGATTGGATCCAAGATCGGCATGTGTTATAAATGAATCTGCTTTATAGTATACATTTAAAGTACAATTCAACGTACTTACCATAAAGCATACATGTGTAAAAGTACTCCTTTGAAGCCAAAAATCTGATGCCACTGAAGAAGTATCCAGTTCCTACTACTACAGCTTACTGTGGCTGATTTGATATCATTTCCTTAGCCCTGCAGAACTTTATCTTTTAACACTTTACAATAGTGACCTGGCACTAGTTTAGGTCTATAAAAACATAATTGTCACAAGTCACACAAAAATACGATAACAGCACAAATCTCTGCATGTCTTCAAAAAAAGTCTTTGGATAACAACTATAATGCATAATGCTGCAGAAGATCCAAGGAAGCACTCTAAATGATGGATATTATTCAATGATAGTAAGTGAGAATTATTTTCTAAAAGGCTGTACCAATGCCAATTTTAGGTAGAACATAACATGAAATCATTTCATGAAATAGTCTCGTTCTATGCTCTCCTGACAACACTCCCAACAGAAAGCTTCCAGTCTATTTGCTGTTTCTTGGCTGATGAGACATTCATCCTTTAATTCCCTGATTTTCTTCCTCAATGATTTTTGGAAACGTTTTTCTCGGTCTAAAACATTCCGCAGACTTTTCTTGGTATCCTCTAGCTCGCTGATCACATGATCTAATTTATGCTTAAGTTTCTTTGGGCTGTCCATTACACTGTAGCTATGTTCCTAAAAACATAAACACCAAGTTATTAAACCAGACAGACAAGTAGTTAGATAAAAGCCTGAAACGAGGCCTCAGCTGCTTCTTTTCCATTTGCGATGCTTAGAGAAGACAGTTAAGTTGGTGAAACGAGGAGGTTTCAGCAACACAGGAAGAAGACAGGGTGCAAGCAGTGTTTCTAGAGCCTAGGGCCCCTTGTTGGTCTAAGGCCTGGCCTACACGAAGAGGGCAGGATCCCATGGAGGGGAAGCACTTCTCATCTGAGGGTGGGTATCTGCTATGAACCCCATGACATTCGCAACGACTATACAGCTTTTGTTCTCTCAGTCTATTTGCTGTTTCTTGGCTGATGAGACATTCATCCTTTAATTCCATTTGGGGGAATTAAGTGTGGGGCTGCTAAGTTTAACTTTTACCTGTCAAACAAACTTGATTGTTAAACTTTTAACTGAGTTACTTTATTTTGATGAATGTTTCACTTTATAAGGGATGACAGGAAAGGAGCACTGGAGCAGGTCCTCAGGCTAGGTGTTACGGATTTCGAGAGAACTCCGGTCTCAGATTTTTAAAGAGATAATTTAAGCTCTCTCAATATTTGTTACGGTTATGCTTACGTTTGACAGGTATACTTTTTTTCCATTCAAAAATAGGGAAAATAACACTGACATATTTTATAAAGTGCTATAAAATAATTTTGAAAAGCTGTTATTTAATATTAAAATCAGTGAAGAGGACTTTTGTTTCTAGCCAAGATGAAATAATAGACACTAGACTGACTCCTATCTAAAAAAACCAACACAGGGCCAAAAGACATAAAAAAAAGTTTTAAAGGTAATGAGCATCAGGCAAGGAAGGCAGCAATTGCAGAGAGATGGGAAGCAAAGAGGGGAGCCCTATGACCACTCCAGCTTACTGTCTCGAGAGAGTTTCTAGGCTTCAGTGCAAGGAGGGGAAACCCAGGAAGAGCTTGGCAGACTGAGTTGAGGAGATAGTGCAAAGTGTCCAGGGAGACCAAGGTGGCTACAGTTCATAGGCAAGGTACTAGAGAGGAGAGAGCTGCACAGAGAGGGTTCTTAGGAGATCTTTAGAGACTCCCCCTTGAGTATTTCACTGGATAAGATCAGTGCATGCATGTAAGGAAACTGCTCAAAGCTGAGGAAAGAATGACCAGAAAAGTTCGGAGTGCTCTGCGCTCATAGGGCACGGCCACTATTCCCACCAGCCAGACTAGAAAATTTCAAGAGTCGTGGCACTAAGTAGAGTATACAAAAGGGTCTTGCCTCAGTAGTGGAGAACAAATAGCCTTCGACTGAGCACTGTTCTAGTCCTGTCTAACAAAGCAAAACCCAAAATGATCAAACTGTTTCCAAATGACTTAATGGTACCCCAGAATAAAGCTCAAGAATACAGGAAACAAAAATATCTGGCATCCAGCAAAGTAAAATCCACTGTGCGTGACACACAAATTTACCAGGCATGCAAAGAAGTAGGAAAATACGAGCCATAATAAGAGATAAACCAATCAATGGAAATCAACCCAGAACTTAGAAGCAAATGTTAGAATCAGCAGCCAAGGGAATTAAGAAAGTTATTAAAACTGTATTCTATATGTTCAAAAAGTTAAGAAGAGACATGAAAGCTATAAAAAGAATCAAACAGAAGATCTACTGTTAAAAACTACAAAGTGTGAGGTGAAAAATACATTGGAGGGAATTAATGGTAGATTAGACAATTCAGAAGATTAGTGAAGGTGAAGATACAGCAATATGAACTATTCAGAATGGACTATAGAGAGAAAAGGCAATATAAAAAAAAAAAAAAAGAAAAAAACCAAAAAATCAACAGAGCATCAGTGAGCACTGGCACAACTTCAGACTAATACACATGAAATTATAGTCCTCAAAGGAGGGGAAAGAAAAGTTGAGGTAGAAAGAGATATTTGAAAAAATCATGGCCAAAACTTTTCCAAGTTTGGTGAAAACTAAAAACCCACAGATAAAGAAGCTCAACAAATCCCAAGCACAAGAAAGATGAAGAGAACTAAACTAAGGTACATTACAATCAAATTACTCAAAACCACTGGAAAAAAAAATTCTTAAAAGCAGAGAAAGAAAGATATGTTAGGTACAGAGACTAAAAATAAGTATGACAGTATATTTTTCATTAGAAACAATGCATGTAAGAATACAGCGGCGGAACATCTTTAAAGAACTAAAAAACCCCCCCAAAATCCCAAAACTATCAATCTAGAATTTGATACCTAGTGAAAATATCTTTCCAAAACGAAGACTAACTAATGACTTTTTCAGACATATGAAAGCTGAAAGAATTCATCATCAGCATAGCTGCACTGTAAGAAATGTTAAGTCATCAGAAAGAATGATACTAGATGGAAATATGGACTTGCATAGAAAAGCCCTGACAATGGCAACTACATGGGTAATGTACCAGATTTTTTTCTTATTTAAATCTTTTTAAAAGATAATTTACTGTTTAAACAAAAACAATAACTACGGAGTGTGGGGTTTATAGCACATGTCAAAGTAAAATGTATGACAGCAATGGCACAAAGGTTGGGAGAGGAGAAATGAAAGTACTGTTGTAAGATTCTTATACTATACGTGAAGTGAAATAATAGCACTTGAATATAGCCTGTGATAAATTAATGATGTGTGCAATAGACCCAAAAGCAACTACTAAAATTAAACAAAGAGTTGTAGCTAACGACTCAAAAATAAAGAGACAAAATGGAATCATAAAAAATTTCAATCAATCCAAAAGAAAGCAGAAAAAAAAGAAAATGGGAACAAAGAACAAAGGGAACAAATAGGAAACAAATAAGATGACAGATTTAAACCAAATCATATCGACAATCACATTAAGTTAAATAGTCTAAACAACCCAATTAAAAGACAGACATTATCAGATTAGATTAAAAAAAAAAAATCAAGATCCAAAAGTATATGCTGCCTACAAAAAATGCACTTCAAAGATAAAAAGACACAAATAGGTTGAAAGTAAAAGAGTGGAAAAAGATACCTGGTAAAAGGCATTTCCAAAAAAACCTACAGTTAACATCATATTTAATGGTGAAAGACTGAGTGCATTCCTCCTAAAATGAGGAGCAAGCCCTGGAGGTTCAAGACAGTGCAATAAAGCAAGAAAAAGAAATGAAATGCAGTCATATTGGCAAGGTAGAATTAAAACTGTCTTTAATGACAGACAAAATGATTATCTATGTAGAAAACCTGATAGCCTCTACAAAAAAGCTTTTATAATTAATATGTGAGTTTAGCAAGTTTGCCAGATTTAAGATCAATATAAAAATCAATTGAATTTCCATACACTAGCAGTAAACAAAACAATACCATTTATAATAGCATTTAGACGATAAAATACTTAGGGATAAATCTAACAAATGAATTAAAAGACCTATACACTGAGAACTACAAAACATTGTTGAGAGATGTTAAATACTTAAGTGAAGAGAGATAATGAGTTCATGAGTTGAAAGATTTAAAAGAATCTTATTAAGATGTCAATTCTTCCCAAATGGATCAGTGGATTCAATACAATCCCAGTCAAAATTCCAGCAGAAATTGTAGAAATTGTTAGAAATTGTTAAAGAGTGATTCTAAAAATTCACATAAGAATGCAAAAGACCTAGAATATCCAAAACAACTTTGAAAGAGAACAAAGTTGGAAGAATAACACTGCCTGACGTCAAGAACTACTATAAAGTTATTGTCATCAAGATAGTAAGACAGATCTGATTCCAGGCTTGGTTCTAACACGAACAGGCAATGAGATAAATAAATAAATGCAAGCTTAAATACTCTGTATGTGTATGACTGTTCTTCAAGAAAACCTAAAGACATAACTTTTTTAATTAGATAGTTCCATATAGAAAATATAGTACCTAAAAGGAGGAAATAATTATTGCATTTTCTTGGTAGAAATATCCTTGCAAAATCATTCTTTGAACTAAATATGTAACCAAAAGATTAACTACCTCCATATTATTGTTGCATACATATAAATTATAATGGCCCTGGGAAGCAATATTATTTTTGGACATTACATATTAAAAAAATATTCTCAGACACCTAAACCCCTCGTTCAATCCTAATGAAGAGGACATATTCATCTTAAAAACATCAACATTAGCTCAGTAAGTAATTTTACTTACAAATATGAACTGGGATTGGAATTCTTCAATACATGAGGAAGCACCAACAAGCTGGTGATTGTGGTTTGTGACTGGAAGGGTTTTGAGAGTGAAGTTTTTTCTACAATGAAGCTTTTCTCTTTTCCCCTGTTAAGAATAGTTAATAACAATCATTGTAGATACTTCTGCCCTTTCTTAAATTTTTATTCCTTCTAAATTTTGTGTAGAAAAGTTATTGCAATATTTCTTTTCATGGAAATTGCTTTTAAAAGTCAGCAAATTTTAAATTCCAGTATGATTACTTTAAAAGAACTTCCCAATAACTCTAAAGTTCATATGGAAAGACAAATTTTCCTAAAAAAAGAAGAGAGAAAATGAGGGAGCAAATGCCCTACCAGCTATTAAAAATATATTACACAGTGCAATAGTTGAAATAGCGTGATACTCTCTTAAGGCTAGACAGAAAAATCTAGGAATAGATCAAGTAGATAAAAGGCTTTAGGATAAAATTTGGCATTCTAAATAAGTGAAGAGAGGCTATAAATCATGTAAAAATGAAGTAATTAAGAAAAAATTATATCCTTTATATATAATAAACCATGATGAAATTCTATGTACTGAAAATTTGTGTAAAAATGAAACCATAAGGAACTAGGGAAAAAACAGAGACTATTTATATAATCTTAAGGTGGAGAAGGCTCAAGTCAGACAACTCAAGAGAAAATATAGAATTGACTACTACTAAAAAAAGGTCTGGGGGGCTGGCCTGGTGGCGCAAGCTGTTGGGTGCACGTGCTCCGCTGCGGCGGCCCGGGGTTCGCCGGTTTGGATCCCAAGTGTGCACTGACGCACCACTTGTCAGGCCGTGCTGTGGTGGCGTCCCATATAAAGTGGAGGAGGATGGGCATGGATGTTAGCCCAGGGCCAGTCTTCCTCAGCAAAAAGAGGAGGGTTGGCAGATGTTAGGTCAGGGCTAATCTTCCTCACAAAAAAAAAGGTCTGAATTTCAAAAAAAAAAAAAACAAACCAACTGCATAATTAGAACTAAAGACAAACAACAAAAAGTAACTGCAACAAAGATGGCAATTAAATGACTCATATCTTCAATAGACAGTGTTTTTTCAAAATAGCTCAAAAAAGATTAAAACAGAAGAGGACCTGAATTAAATAATTCACAAAAGAAGTAGTTCAAATGTCTAATAAACACATGAAAAAATGCAGAAACTAATATTCAAAGAAATTAAAACACTAGGATGCCATTTTTGCCTATCAATTTTAGCAAAGGTTAAAAATATAGCTTATACTGAGGATTAGGGTGGACAGACACTTTTATGTATAGCTAGTAGGGGAGATTGGTGGATTCTGTAGAATTGCTGGTGGGCCTTTGGGAGATTTGTATTAAAAGCAAAAGCCTTGAAAATGTGTATAATTTTGATCCAACAATTTTATTTCCAGAAAAATTTTTTGAGGAAATAAGGATATGTACAAAGATTTAGCTACAATAATGTTCATTATAGCTGCTGTATAAAATAGTGAAAGATGATAACCTATATATCACAGTGAGGACTGATTACATAAACTATCGTTCAATCATAGGATTAACTGCTATATGGCATTAAAAATGTTCTATCAAACAGACACCACCAAGGACTGGCAAAGATATGGAACCAGAGGAACTTTCACATGCTGAGAGTGGTACTATAAATTGGCAGAAGCACTTTGGAAAACTATGGCAATATCTACTCAAAGTGAACATACACACCCCCAGAACCCAGCAATTCCACCTCTAACAGAAGACTACATACACTCTGCAGAAATGTGTACATAAGTGCACCAACATGGACAAAAATGTTCATAGTTGCATCATTCATAATAGCCCCAAAGTGAAAAAAACCCAAATGTTCATCAACAGTAGAATGGAGAAATTATAGTTCATTTACACAATGGAACACTATATTGCAAAGAAAATAAATGGACTACTGTCACAGGCTACAATATGGATGAATCAGGCAAACAAAATGTTGAGCTAAAGAAGCCAGAGTACATACTGCAGGACTCCATTTATATAACTGACAGTGATACAAGTCAGGATAGTAATCACCTTTGTGGTGTAGTGACTGGAAATGGCACAATGGAGGCTTCTGGGGTGCTGATAAACATTCTATATCTCAGTCTGAGGTGAGTTACATCAGTGTATTCACTTTGTGAAAACTCATTGCTCTGTACACTTATAATGTGTGCCCTTTTCTATATATATGTCATATGTCAATATAAAATTTAGTTTAAAAAATTGACGTTCTATACAGGTTTCTCTTAAAGATGTGATCCATAGATCTGCAACACAATCATGTGGAGTGCTGGTTAAAAAGTGCAGATTCCTAGGGGCCGGCCTGGTGGCGTAGCAGTTAAGTTCAGTGCTCCACTCCTTCAGTGGCCTGGGGTTCTCAGGTTCGGATCCCGGGTGCGGACCAACACATCACTTATCAAGCCACGCTGTGGCGGCGTCCCATATAAAGTAGAGGAAGGTGGGCACGGATATTAGCCCAGGGCCAATCTTCCTCAGCAAAAAGAGGACGACTGGCAACAGATGTTAGCTCAGGGCTAATCTTCCCCACAAAAAAAAAAAAAAAAAAGGAAAAAAAAAGTGCAAACTCCTAGACTCCAGCCCAAAACTACTGAATCAAATTCTCTGGAAGGGGGACACAAGATTCTGCATTTTAAACAAGCTCCCTGGATAATTCTTATGTAGACTAAAGTTTGAAAGCCATTGTTCTGGAAAAATATTTAACATCATGGGAAACAGTAGTTAAGAATGGACCCTGGAACCAAAACGCCAGTTCAAATCCAGTCTCTGCCATTTAATAACTGTGTGACCCTGGGGAAGGTATTCCAGCTTTCTGGGCCTCAGTTTCCTCAAGTGATAAAATGAAAATGACAGTATTTATCTTATATGGTTGTTGTGAACACTACATGAGGTTTTATATCTATATCTATATCTATATAGCTTAGAATAGTGCCTGGCACATCATAAGCACTATATAAGTGTTGTTAAAAAAAAGAGAGAAGCAAATAAAAGAAAAAGGATGTACAGTGTAATTCTATTTTTGTAAGAATATATAAATATAGATGAATTTATATACAAACATACACATACAAATGACTGGAAAGATACACATCAAAGTATTAACAGTATTATCTCTGGATTATGTGATTATCGTTAATTTTTATTTTCTTTTTGCTTGTATCATCTAATTTCCTATAACTAAAGATGTTTTTGTTATAAGGAAATAAATAGTAGCTTTTGAAAGCTAGTAATTTATGGTTTATTTGATTTATTATGCCCACATTTCTTAAGGTCTTCTTAACATTACAGCTAGATGACACCTTGTTATGGGAAAAAAAACCCTTTAGAGAAAATTGCACAAGATATTGTACATTTATTAATATGGAAGAAAGTGAGGCAGTCTCTACCTGACCACTCAGGCACTGGAATCTGACCAAGTGCAGAAAGTGACCAAGACCGCACGGGAGCTGGTACTCTTCTGGACTACTTCCCTTGTTGACAGTTGTCAGGAAGCAGATACCTTTCAACGGAGGCTCATTACTATTGTTGTGGGAACCCATGGGTTCTCCCTGAATTTTCCGCATTGGAATTGGTCAGTCTGCAGTTTCTCAAAACAGATACACTTCAGGTATATGAAGTCAAGACTGTTACTGAGGGTGAAGCAGCCAACCCATGACACTAATATCACTGAGAAAAAAACAAGGAATTCAACTAGAGTTTACTCATACAATCCTTTCATTTTCTTTTTCTGACCTCTTCTCTCCTTTCCTGCTCCTGTTCTTATCGCTTGTGGTATTCTTCCTTTTAGTCCTACCTAGGCTTTAAACTTGAACGTATGTGGCTCTAAAAGTATACTCCGGTTCTGTTAGTGGCTCTGCTCTTGACTTTTGCTCCAGTGTGAGGAGGACTGTCACCTTGGAACTTCAGTTCAATCCTCTTAACGTTAACCTCCATTTTCTGGACACAAATCTTGAGTTATGCCAACTCCTAAAGTCAGTCCACTTCACCAAACCTTAGTATCGCACAAATATTTCTGAGTGCCTACTGGCAAAATACTCCCACTACACATTAGAAAAGCTGAAGCAGCAGTTTACAAATTTAAAAACTCCAAGAATGGACTTCAAATGAATATGCAAACAATAAAAATGTTAGCAAGAGTAGTGAAGCTTCTTCAATAATACCATAAAAAGCGAGTAATGATGGTAAGCAGTATCTCATAAACAAACCTGTAAGTGAGATGGAGAATCAAAGATAGAAGGTATGACTCCAGGTTTCAATTTAATATTTGGAGAACTTCTGTCAAAATCTGTCTTCTTAAAGTGCCTTGAACACAACACATCTCCTTTTTTAGGCTCCCAAATGCCCGCAGCATTCACATCAAGTCTTTTCATTGCTAGTACCCATTTTCTTTTGACACTTTCATCTGTGGGGAATCTAGAAAAAAATATAAAAAGTATTTTAAAATTAAACACTATTGATATATACTTGAATTAAGGCTGTGACTAAATTGATTCCTTAACTAGTTTGTTATTATTCTCGGAAACTGGAATATTCAGGAAACCATGATTCATGCTTTCATAAAGTTCAGTTTTAATAGTCAGATTTTCCTACCAATCATGCTGCAGACCTATGGCCCTCATTTCAATTTTTCTCATATTATAAAGAAAACAAGTTTCAATGGTTATTTAACACCTTATAGTAAGGTCCACAATTGAAGGTTTTTCTTCATCTATAGATGATAAAGAATATCACTTGGGCCTTTTCCTATCTGAAGTGATATCCAGAATTTACCCCAGATGAATAGAGCCTCTCTTACTTTCATTCTTCTGTCAGCATCAGAAAATTCCTTAGTATACCATTTAATACAGCACAGGTCTATAAATGCTTAGTGAATGAATGCAGAGAACAGCTGCAGAGTTTAGAGTTCTCGAGATTAGAACTATTTTGAGAGACCTGGAGACCAATAACCATATCTCTTCCAATTTTCCAAGTTAGTTCGAATCCTTTTTGGAATAAGATGGGATACACACACTCATTTTTGTTTTCCTCATACCTAGCTAGCAAAGCAGTTAGCAGATCGTTCTCTAGCACACAGCACAGAACCTGGCACAAAAGCAGCAAAATAAACCCTTAGCAAATGAGTAATTCTTAAATCTTATTGCTCCTTCTTTCCTATGCTGTCAGGAGAATGGCTAAAATACTAAATTAGGATCATCTTGATTTATCTGCAATACAGCTAAAGAACCCTTGGTCTGAACTTGTAATTTATATTTTTTCTCTACACCTTAAGCTTGATCTATTTCTAAACAGAATGTATTTGGGCAAAGATCCTTCCTTCACTCAGACTGTAAACTACATGTAAACAACACTGGATTTCTTTGCAGGTATGTTAAAACGCAAAGCAATAATATTAGCAAAAGTGAGTTTGATATTTTTGTTAACCAGCCTCTGATACCCTGGCATGTATCTTAAACTTCTATACTAAATTATGAAAGTGTAAACATGTCACTGTCACTTCAAAGTTAACTAAAAAGGACTTGGGAACTATAGTTCAAAATTGAAGATTTAAGTAGAATTGTCTTTTGCTTTTTATTACGGTCAAAAGAACTAGGCTTAGCCACAGCAAAATCTTACACGTGAAATGTGAGTCCTTTTATCTTGGAATTTGGCAAACAGCGGGAAGCACATCCAATGGCCGAGCAACATTTCACCATGATTTTAGCAACTCATAACAGAACTGAAAGAAAATTAAAATGGTAAGAGTTAGTAACTTCAAAGCTAAGGGGAACATATTTACCTTTCTCAGTATGTTTTAGATATCATGAAATCATGTTAGAAGCCAAAGGCAAATATTTACTTCCAATAGAAAGAAAAGCTGGCTCATAAAATTTTCCAAGGGCTTGGCTCTTTAATAAGGCAAGTCACATTTAGCTATGCACTGAGGAGTCTGATTTCAGTTTTAGAGGCTTGAACATTTCCCGTCCACCGCTTCTTCCAGGCCACGTTCCCTACGCCACCAGGCCTTGGCACCCTAACCCCTCCTAGCATACTTCATAAATCCTGCTCACCTTGCAGCTCAAGCGTTGCTTCCCCAGGGAAACCTTCCCTGACACCCAAATTAAGTCAGATCCCCTCTAGTATTAGCTCTTGTAGGACACACACTTCTCCTTTCTAGCCCTTCTCAAAGTTGTAATCTTACATTTATTCCGGAGATTCTCTGCTTAACGTCTTCCTCCCCCACCAGCCTGTGAGTTCCACGAGGGCATGGTGGGGCGTGTGTTTTTTCCCACTTAGGTCCCCACGGCCTAGCCGGTGACTGGCACATAGTAAATGTTAACACGTATTTTGAAGGAATGAAGAGCGAGTAAAGAGGAAGGTGACGTAAGGAAAGGGCAGCTCGAGGCGCTGGCGAGGGCCTGGGCGCCCAGCAGCAGCAGCGCGCGCGCTCGCGGCGCGCGGGGCGCTCAGAGCCCGGAGGCCGGGCCGAGCTCCGCCCCTTTCTCGAGGCTCCGGGCCGCCGCAGGCAGGCAGGGAGGGAGGGGCCGCCCTGTCACAGGTGCGGACGCGGCCGGAGAGCGTCCCTTCTTCAAGGGTCATCGGGCGTCTCCGCGCCGCCGCGGTCAGCCTCGCCCCGAGCCACGCCCACGGTCTGGGCGGGTAGCGATGGGGGTAAAGAAGAGTCAACCTAAGAGTTATTACCGTTAGCAGCGAAGGCAGCGACTAACGTCGACCGCACAGATTGCGTCTCCCTGCGCTTCCGCCCCGTCGCCGGGGAAGCCGGAAGTCCGGCTGCCCCGGGTCACGTGCCCAGCCGCCAGATTGGCTCTGGTGGCAGCTGCAGCCGGGAGGGGGTGTGCTAGAGCGGCGCAGCTTCTCTGGGCGTAGTTTTCAGTCTGGGGGGAGGGTCCGTGCGGTGTGAGGGGAGGTGGAGGAGATGGCGGCCTCGGCGCGGGAAGATGGCGCCCGTGGCCAAGAGCAAGGGCGGCGGGGCTGCGAGCACTATGACAGAGGATGTCTCCTGAAGGTGACGACTTCAATGGGCTCTTCGCCTAGGAGCTTCCGCCGGGCCGGGCTGGGCTGGGGCGCGCTGGGCAAGGCAGTTAGGCTTGGGCTTCAGTTTGAGGCTAAGCTGTTTGTCAGGATACCTTCTCCTGCAGTAGAGAACGTTTTTGGCAAGGCGACCACAGGCCCCACCTTTCCTCCTGTTTTGTACTTTGCAAGCAAAGCCCGTTCGGCTTGAGAAGAGCCTGGGCTTGCACATCAGTCACCTTATCAATGGGTTTATTCAGTCTTCTGCTGTTGGAAGTAGACTGAGGCAGCCCCGGCCCTGTGCTGGCTTTTCCTCAGCATCATTTTCAGGTGTGTGATGAAATAGTGGAAGAGGGATAAGCAAGTGGAGAATCGGAATACGATTTCAGCTCCTGTAGTGAATAAGTTTTACAGTTTGCAGCTTTATTTTAGAGTCAGTGAGTATGTGTAAACCTGCCAACGGGAAAATGTGTATGTGAAAGAGGAAGACCATCATGTAATTGCCACTAATTAGGAAATTATGTATAGGAAAGTGCCTAGTGTGCATATATTGTTACTTTTGCCGATTACTTTGAGAAAAACTCCTAGTCACTCTAGAAGTTTTCAAATTGGCACCCATTCAGTTAAAGTTTTCTGATTTTTCTTGCAAGAAACAGTTGAAAGATTTTGCTTAGAAAACTTGAGCTCTGGAGTCCCACAGCCCTACCCCCAAATCTTAGCTCTGCTCCTTAATAGCTCACTGAGCAAATTACTCTTTAAACGCGCCATATGTAAAACAGGGGTGATAGAAGTTCTTTCATAAAAAAGTATGAGGCCCGTAAGGACAACCTAAAGCCTTTTCTGTAGTCCATGGTTTGGTGAACGTTCCTCCACTGCACTGGATGAAGCTTTCAAAGTTGGTCATTCACCAAGTGTTGTGTAAGGAAATTGAATGCTATCCTTATGATTCCATTTCCACTGAAATGCTGTTACTCTGTCAAACCTGAGGTCTAAAACTGAATTCAGCATGTTGGCCCTCCCCTCATTCCCCAAGATACCACACCAACGCACCTGTGTTTGGTAGCACTAAGATACTTGGCCAGGAGTGTCAAATGCTTTTTGCCCTACCCCTCCATTTTCCTTAAATACCAGAGGCCAAGTGAGGAGTTTTAAGGAAGAAGTAATCAACTAAATCAAATGCTGCTGTTTGAGTAAGATAAGAACTGAAAATTGACCTTTAATTTGGCAGGGAGGAGGTCACTGGTGATCTTGATAAGAGAAATTTCAGTGGAGAGATTGGGACAAAGCTTGATTACGGTGTATTCAAGAGAGAATGAGAGTAGTAGAACTGGAAATAGCCTTTATAACAGTTCTTGGGGTTTTGCTGTAAAAGAGAGCAAAAAAAATGAGCCTGTGGGTTGCTGGGAGATGTGAGATCACGGGATTTTTTTTCCCTTTAAGATGGGTGGTATTGCAGCATGTTTGTAAATTCTTAGAAATGACCCAATAAAGTGAGAACATTTTATAATGCAGGAGGGAGAGGGAAAACTGTAGGAGCACTGTCTTTGAGAAGTCAAAGAGAAGATGGCATCTAGTGCACAAGTGGAGGAGTTGGCCTTAGATAAAAACATGGACTGCAGACTATAACAGAAGGGAAGAAAGAGGATGAGGTACATTTGCAAGTAGGTTGATAGAGTTTGTGGGAGGATATTCTCTTTTGATTATTTCTGTTTTCCTAGTGAAATAAGCAAGGTCATCAGCAGAGTGTAAGGAGGGAGGAAGAGGTGTTCGAGGTTTAAAGAGAGAAGAGGTGTGAAATAATCTAGACCCTAGGTTCTAGACTCTAGAAGAATGAGGGACTTGACTAGGGAAACATGGTGGTAAGAGCCCGCTTTTTATTAGTGGTTATGACTTTAAAGAGAGACCAGTCTTTAGCCTTTCTTTAAAGGCTCTTTCTTTAGCCATATTCAGCTGTTCCTGTATAGGTTGAGTAGGAGAGACTTGGATTTAACCAGAGTGGGGATTTGGGCTGAGTGAGTATGTAGAGGAAGAGAGAAGGAAGAAACTAGGGTGTGTGCAAGGGAAGAAATGGAGTTAGTTGAAAGAGAGGAGGTAGTGGTTAGAGAAGTTCATGCTTGAAATTAAGAAATAAACAGGATTCAGTTCTTGTTCTACAGCAGTGGTTCTCAAAATATGGTGAACGGACCCCTGGGGATTCCTGAGGCCCTTTAAGGGGATCCTCAAGGTCAAAACTACTTTTTAATACTAAGACATTATTTGTCTTTTTCAGTGTGTGCAAAAGCAGTGATTAAAACTGTTGGCACCTTAGCACAAATCAAGTTAGTGGCCTGTACTACACCTATAGTTTAAAAAAAAAAGCCAGTTTTTGCTTAAGAATGTCGTTGATAAAATTAAAGAAGTAAAATGATTAATTTTATAAAATCTCAACCCTTGAATACATGTTTTTTTTACATGTTTGCTAAAATGAGATGTTTTTATCAAGCACTTCTGTAGTCTGAAGTTAGATGGTTTCAAGAGGAAAAGCTCTTGTGCAATTGGATTGTGAACTGAACTAGTTACTTTTTCATGGAGCAGCATTTTTTACTTGAACTATGGTTGTTCACACTTGGGTATTGGGACATTTTCTTGAAAAGGAGGGAAGTAAGACTGTCATTACAAGGAAAACAATTGATGCTGATAAGATTCTAGCTTTCATGTAAAAATTAGAATTTTAGAAAACTTGTATTAGCCTTTGTGAGCTTCTGAATACTTAAAGACTTTTCTGATGACATGGGCAGCGATATTAACAAATGTGATTTTTTTTGATATTGCATGTCAAATGCGTGAACATTTGGAAGATCTGCATAACTCAGTGAGCCGATATTTTTCAGATGACCAATGCATGGGTAAAAGATCTGTTCAAAGTGCAAGATAGATGAGTGGCTTTTAATGTAACAGAGGGAGAAAAGTTCATTGATATGATTTCAGATTCCATGTTGCAACTAACTGTTTATAAGAGTTGTTGAGTTTTGGCGTGATATCAGAGAAGAATATCCGTAATTCTCTGAAAAGGCTATTAAAATACTCTTCCCTTTTCCAGCTACGTATTTGTGTGAGGCCGAAGTTTCTTCATATACTTCAGCCAAAACTGATTGAATGCAGAAGCAGAAATGAGAATCCTGCTATTTTTCCGGAAAATATATTTTTTCATTAAAATATGTTATTTATATGTAATGGATTTGTTATTATTTTAAAAAGAAGTAATAAATATTTTAAAAACCTATTAGTTTTAATTTATAATATGGTAGTAAGTATCAATAGATATAATTCACGTTAACAAAAGCTCTTTGGGATTCTCAGTAGTTTTTAAGAGTGTAAAGGGGTCCTGAGAGCAAAACGTTTGACAACCACTGTTCTGTGGTATGACTGTGAGAACATGTGGCTGAGGAGGGTTGGAGGACAAGGCTATTGGAAGTGAGAAAGTCAAGGAAGAGAATTCAGGGTATTGGATAATATGGAAGGTATCCATATTATCATTATGGATGGGCAAATCACAGAGATTTAGGACAAGAGTAGTGTTGGAGAAAAAGGGAGCCAGTTGAGTGTTAAAATCTTTAAGGAATAAACTATATTATGGTAAGTCACAGCATAGGAAGTCTTCAGAAATGAGTGGATCTGCAGGGTCACAGTGTACTGGAAAGTATTGGGTTAGCTTACTGTCCTGGAAACTTACTGATGTACTAGTTAGGGTAAGGCTAAGTTGCTGTAACAAAAAGATCCAACAGAACTGTGGGTTAAAGAGTTTATTTCTTCCCAGTTAACAGTTCGTAGGTGAGTGATCCGATTTGGTGATGAGGCTCTGTTCCATATGATCACTTCAGGGGCAAGTGTTTCCACTGTGTGATTTTGCCGTGTTTTAGGGCATATAGTCGTCAGCTGGGTTGCTGCCATGTCCAGGTTTCATCTGATAGAAAGGAGCATGGAGGAAGAGACATGGCCAGTTTCTTAATACTCAGGCCCGGGAGTGGCACTGATTTCTTCTGCTCGGATTCTGTTGGTAAGAGCTTAGTCATTTGGCCACACCTAACAGTAAGGAAGGCTGGGAACTGTAGTATAGCTGGGCAGTCGTATGCCCAGGAAGAAGGCAAGAATAGATTTTGGTGGACAGCTGGCAGTCTTTGCCACTCTTGAAAACAAGGGCTGTCTCTTACATTTATCGCATCCTCTAAAATATCAGGCATATAGTTGATGATTAATAAACACATTGGAATTAAAATACAATCTTTGAAATATTTAATGTTTAAGAATTGAAGTAGGTAAATGAATTTA